TGAAAAGGCCAAAGTTAAGCTGACTGTTATCTCAGTAAGACGAAACTCGTTTGGCACAAACAAAATGAACTTTTATTGCACGTTTGTATAAAAACACGTTTGTTCATTTTTTTTTACTATTTTTTGTTCTGTGGTCTAATGTGAAGATGACAATCTGTATAATTTCTTCCCACTCCTGTATGAGCCTGTTAAGGCTTACAGTATCAATAATAATAAAAAAAAAACACACTTAGTGTGGAAGTGTCGATCTATAAAAGCAGCTTCAATTTACAACTGACATACGGACATAATGAGCAAACGTTGAACACAGAATACCCTAACCAATGAGAATACTACGTATCAACAATCGCGAATACGACACGTCATATTTGACTCAATTCACTTTTTTTATGATGGTGCGCATAGTTTCCTTGCAACTATGCAGCTTGCGAAGCTGTACGACGCGAGCAGCTTGGTCCTATGCAGACGCCTGTGAAAGATAAACTAAGCGCGTGCAACCTGTATAAATTAAAATTTTCGCAGGAGTAGGGGCTCATGTTTCCAGTTTTGATGTGTCTTACTTATCCATTAATATCCAAAAAAACAACAGAAATTGGGAGAAGTCTGAAGGGATGCAATATTCCTGAACTCCGGGTGCCGCAGGAGCAGTCGCTCATTTATGTGGTAAAAGGTGTCAATGCACCCATGCCTGTACACCCCGCCCCCCTGTTTCAAGGTGTACAGCAGCAAATCAAAATCATGAACTTTCTTGTATAGAACTCTTACTTTTCCCGCGGGAGTCCCTCATGTTTTTAAGCGCCATGAGAACATTTGGGCTTCAACATATGAGGACGCATGTGAATTACTCTTGAATTACAGAAAACACCATGTCCGTAAAAATAAGCAAAAGCTTGTTCTATATGATGGACATTGCAGTTGAATCCTTAAAATTTTTGGGTAATTGCCAAGTGCTAAATATTTGCAACTGCCTTGCTATCACAAAATATTCGGAGCATTTCCATCGATTGGTGCACCCGTCATAAGAGTCACTTCATATCTCGCAGTTAAAGAGCACCAAGAACGCTCCTGAGTTATTCATCACCCACGAGTCACATAGTACGCAGGCGGAGAAAGGCTTGGCGAGCGTGCGTGTGTATCTGCATGCTCCAAATTTTTCTCTAGTTAGCAGGGCGCACGTATTATATACACTATTATAACATTAGCAGTGTACCGTTGCTATTGCAGCAGTGCCACTTGGCAAATCTTTCCTTACGGTATGCAAATAATAACGAAAACACATATTACATGTTTCTTGAAAAAGAAGTGTAGCATACCGATGGAGCCTAATGCCAGACGTCATGTATTTTCCGATTTCAGTGGATGTTAATGCACTCCAGCTGGTCTAAATTAGCATCTTAAGTAACCTAGGCTGTTTCGGGATGTTAAAACCCATAAAACAACAAAGCTAAGTGGTGTAGACACGCCATTATATTGTTATATACAGGGTGTTTCAAGAAATCGGTCCAATATTAAATGCGAAGCATTTCTTAGTGAACTTCGGTGACTTCGATCCTATCTATCTATCTAGCCGCCTACGACTTTTAGCTCTCCTGGCCGTTATGATAATGGTATCGTTACCAAACTTGGTATGGCTTAACATGACTGTATGTAGAACATATTTGACTAGTCATGACATGAAAATCATGACATGCATGTCATGAATGTCATGATTTACATTTCATGGTCCTCCAGCTCTTGCGGTGGTTTCGTTCACATGACACATTGCAAAACTGGTATGGTATGGCATGATTGCACGGCGAACACAAGCGACAGATGTTAACATGAAAATCATGACATGCGTGTCATGTAACAACATGACTACATGCCACGCTTATGAAGTGCTCGCGGGCGTTCTTCTAGCGTCACATATACCAAATTTGGTATTACGGTATGTGAATGGATGACGAAGGTATGTGACTGATGCAAGCGTGATAAACGTGGGATGTGTGTCATGTAACAACATGACTACATGAAATGCTCAAGATGCACTCGCGTCCGTTTCGCTAGATTCACATGTACAAACTTGGTATTACGCGACGCCAATGGACGACATAGGTAAGTCACATCCAAACGTGATAACCTTGACATGCTTGTCATGTAACAACATGACCACATGCCACACTCATGATGCGCTCGCGGCCTGCTTCGCTAGCTTCACATATGCCAAATTTGGTATTACATGATGTCAATGGATGACGAAGGTATGTGACTATGACAAACATGATAAACTTGAGATGCATGTCATGTTATAACATGACTACATGCCACAGTGAAGGCGCCAATACACTTGGACGTGACGCTGTGCGCGTGCTCGCCGACGTTCATTTTGTCGCGTTACGCCAGTGTTGCAACGCCAAGCGCTGGTTTTGCCATATACTCGCAGGCGTGCGCCGCGCTGCGCTGCATTGATGCATGCGCGTTTCAGTGCATCCGGCACCCTCGGTCACGAAAAGAGGAAGACGAAGTGTTGCCTGGGTACCGCATCGGTGCGAATTTTGCGCCCATTGCCGTCGGGCCGCACCGACCGAAGCTGGTCGCACCGGTCGCGCCTGGCGTCAGACTATAGAGTGCTTGTGTTTTGCTAAGGTAGCGTCGCTGTGCCCAGCATGTGCGCGCGTCAACGCTACATTGGAGTATATTGGGCCCTTCATGATGCGCTCGGGGCCGTTTTGCTAGCTCCACATATATCAAATCTGCTGTTATGTGACGTCAATAGATGACAAAAAATATAACTGGTGCAAGCATGATAATCCTGACACGCGTGTCAGGTAAGAACACGGTGACATACCACGCGCGATCATTTCGCTACCTCCACATATACTAAATTTTGTATCACGTGACGTGAATAGATGATGAAGGTAAAGGACACATTCAAACATAATAATCATGACAGGGAAGTCATGTACGGTATCATTTACCTCCAACTCGTAACGCTGTGCTGATTTTAAAGTGACATATCAAGCTTTCTTATTCGTGCTTTGCATATCATCGATTCCCACTCTACGTAGGATCTGCCAATTTTTATTTGAAAACAACGAAAAGGAGGCATCTGCGTTCTATCTGCGGTATTCTCTTTACTTTGGCAGAATGCATCTTCAGATGTGTAAAAACAATAATTATAGTAGTAAGTATAGAAATTAAAACAATGAACTTTTAACGAGTTGAGATCACTGGTCGAGTCAAATGGGAAAGTCATAAAACAACAAAGCTAAGTGGTGTAGACACGCCATTATATTGTTATATACGGGGTGTTTCAAGAAATCGGTCCAATATTAAATGCGAAGCATTTCTTAGTGAACTTCGGTGACTTCGATCCTATCTATCTATCTATCTATCTATCTATCTATCTATCTATCTATCTATCTATCTATCTATCTATCTATCTATCTATCTATCTATCTATCTATCTATCTATCTATCTATCTATCTATCTGTCTGTCTGTCTGTCTGTCTGTCTGTCTATCTATCTACCTGCCTGCCTGCCTGCCTGCCTGCCTGCCTGCCTGCCTGCCTGCCTGCCTGCCTGCCTGCCCGCCCGCCCGCCCCGCCCGCCCGCCCGCCCGCCCGCCCGCCCGCCCCGCCCGCCCGCCCGCCCGCCCGCCCGCCTGCCTGCCTGCCTGAATCATGCTTAAATTTGAAAGTCGAATAGTCTATAGCCATTTTGAAATTTCCGCAAGGCAGCCAGTGGTAATCACCTCCGAGCAATGAAATATGGCTAATTTAGCTGGTGAAACCGAAACCGACGCACCAAAAAGCGCATATACCATTCACTTTGAAAACATCCCCAATGAAAAAAAATTGTTTTCAATTTTGTGAATGGTTAATTGTTTTAATTTCTCTAATTACTACCCTAATATTTATTTGTGCACATCTGAAGATGCCTTCTGCCAAAGTAAACGAAACACCACATGTAAAGCTAAGATGCCTCCTTTTTGTAGTTTTTCAAAAATGTGGGACCCATTTTTTGAAAACGCCCTGTACATGCCTAATACGAGCCTGACTCAGGCAGGCACAGGCCTGACTCGAGCCCGAAGCTCGTGGGCTTGGGCCCGATGCAACAATGTCTTGCCCGGCCCGACCCACGGGCCGGGCTGGGCCCGGGTTCGTGCAGTGCTCTAGTATAAGCTACGCATTATCCAACTACCACAGTTAGCACGGTGCATTTTGCTTAAAATTTGAAACCATCACTTACTTTCGTTTGATGTTCAACCACACGAATACACAACTATAATAGTACAGTCATGACTTGTTTGGTTTTATAAGTTTATCATTGGCAATGGTGCCTGCATACAAGTGGTAATGACTATTGCTATCCTTAACAGCTGTGAAAAGAGTCCGTCTATATTGTCATGCTATCACAATGTCATCTAATGGGCCAGTGTGGGTTTTTTGATATTAAAGAACTCTTGATTGATAGTGATAAAATTTTTTCAGCTTATTTATATTTCTCTGCTGACAAATGATTCAATCAGGCTGATGATTATGATGTTTGCTGACTTCAAGTAGGCCATTAGGCTTTCAGTATTCTATGTAGCCCTTAAAATATTAAATATCTGACATGCCTTCGGGGGAGAATTTTTTCTGAACTGAGAGAGTTGCAAAGTAAAACAGCATATCATCACGACAACCTTGACTGAATACTGAGCACGATAAAACAAGAATGGGTGTTATCTTGTCGAAATGGTTGATTGGGTGAGTTGCGATTCACGATTGTTTGAAATAAGAGCATGATACGTAGACGCGGACAGGATAGACAGGGCCAGGCGTTGTCATGTTGAACATTCGTAAATGAGTCAATGTAAAGCTAGGATTTCACTCGTTCAACATAGCATGAATTTAGAACCTCTCCATTTTATTGTGTTTAGCGTTGTAGGTTATTGCGAGGAAAGAGTTTGCTCCCCACAGTGCGCCTGAATGTTCTGATATTTTAAACACTTATAATTGCTTACCTGATGGTGCAGAGCTGGAGATGCTGTCGGAAGCCCGAGCTCGGCTGGCTAACACGCAGGGCAAAAAGGCCAAGCGCAAAGCGCGAGAGAAGCAGCTGGAGGAAGCAAGGCGCCTGGCTGCCCTCCAGAAGCGGCGTGAGCTGCGCATGGCAGGCATCATCCTGCCTCCTCGCAGACGCAAGCGCCACGCCATTGACTACAACAAGGAGATTCCTTTCGAGAAGCGGCCAGCCCCGGGGCTGCACGACACCTCCGAGGAAGTATACGACCCGACCGAGACTGACTTTCGACGCCTGCGGCAGCAGCACTTGGACGGGGAGCTGCGCAGTGAGAGGGAGGAGGTCAGTCCATTCCTGGAAGTCAATTTGAGTGCCCATCGGCGTAGGCACCTGACCCATGTTTGCCCACATGCCCAGTGAAACAATGGCCCTCCTGTGATATGTTCGCGCGCTCTGTCTGCCTACAACTTCTCAAAAACAGATGTTCACTGCAACACATCAGTCGGGCTTAGGTCACTGTCGTTCTGCCACCAACTGGGGCATGATCGTTCACGTGCCTGTAATGCAGCTTGCATTGTTTCTGTGCTTTGTGTTTGAGCTGTTTTTTTTTTTTTAAAGCTGAAACTGCAACTGCATAAAGGTGTGATGGTAAAGAAACAAGTTGTCGTTGATTTCAGCTTTATATCTCAGGAACTGTGCTATATCTTGTGAAATTTTGCATTATCCATCAGAAAGCCCGTGTCCTTCAGTCAGGGCAATTTCGACTCTGTAATTTTTCTTACCTGCTTTTGGTTGAGTGCCCTATTTCAGACTGGGATACAGAATGAAATGTATCTTTTCTCAAAAACTTCATGAACATGAAATTGAGCAAGCTTATTGAACATTATATTAGTATTGATACGAACCTTAAGTATTAACTTTTACATTTATCTCACAAGGAAAAACAAAAAGTGAATATTCACCTCGCTTGTCACGTGATGTGAGGCCAAATAATCTCGTTTCTCTAATAATCATAATTTTTTAAAGCTTTTAGCTTGGAAATATTTGAGTGCAATTGGTTCGATAGTTTTTGAAAAATGGCGCATCCAGTTTCAAGATATTGGTAGCAAGAAAAACATGATTTTTGGTTTAAAAACATTCACGGACATGCTCACAATTCACTGCCATAATTACGCTGAAAAGCATCTTGGTGGGAAAACTTGCAATTGAAAAATATGGAAATGGAAGGAAGTGAATATTGTGGGTATACAGTAGAATCTCGATGATACGAATTCAAAGGGAGCCCGCAAGATAATAATATCAGCCTGAATTCGTACATATGAACCAAAAACAAGTTGAAGCGGTACTTTATTTGGGTCAACTACCATATAAACCGGACTGTAGGTCGAGTGGGAATATAGGTCGACCTCCCAAGCTCAGGTTACCGAAAAAGAAAAAAAAAGAAAAACAACCCAAAATTTCCGAACGACATTTATTTGTGAATTGGGCGCACCGCACCCCGATCGTCGCAGCTCCCCTCAGCCACTATCGCAACTGTTCCTATTCGTCAGACGAAGCACCATTGTCTTCTGAAGACAAGAGTTTGTCGCTGGCCGCCTCCCACAGTGCGTTGTCTTCCGTGCAATACAGCGAGTTGCTGATGGAACATTTCTTAAAAGCATTTTCCACCATGGAATCTGGCAAGGAACGCCAGGCAGAAAGCACCCAGCCACAAACGGTTGCAAGCGGAGGCCTCTGTAGGTGGCCCGTCGGTGTCTTTGGGTTGTCGCCGGACATCCACTTTTGGTACTCCAGCCGCACTCGGTCCTTGAACGACTTGTTTAGCACAACGTCAATTGGTTGGAGGGTGGACGTCATACCACCTGGTATCACGGCGAGGTGCGTTTTTTCATCGCCCAGTGCGGACTTCACAGAGTCAGTTAAGTGACCACAAAACGCATCTAATGCCAGCATGCTGCAAAGACGCAGCAGTGCACCTGGCTGACGATTTCTGACTACTCGTATCCATTCGAGCATCATGGCCTCGTTCATGTATCCCTTTTTGTTGACGCGAACGACAGCATCGGGCGGGAACACTTCCTTCGGCATTGTCTTACGTTTGAAAATGGTGAAAGGCGGAAGCTTTCTGCCATCTGCCATGCATGCCAGCATGATGGTGAAGCGCAAGTGCCCGTTGCCAATGGACAATAGTTTCATATTCTTGGCGCCATGCTCCATGATCATGGTAGACGAAGGCATGTCAAACCACACGGTGGTCTCATTGGCATTGTCAATCTGCCCCATCATGTAGTTTTTCTGCTCCCGAAGCCAGTGCACGAAGCCCTGAAAGTTTATAAGCTTGTCCTTGAACTTGTCTGGAAACTTCTGACAGATGGATGTGCGCCACCAAAAAGCAAATCCTTTGCGTCTCGTGAATCGACGCACCCAAGAGTTTGGTGCACAAAACTCTTCTATCGTGAGCCCAGCTTCTTGAGCGAGTTCCACAGGTTTCTTGCGAATGGTATCCACGGTCACTGGCAGGGAGCACGCATGAACTTCCCCCACAAAGTTCCCTAGCGTATTCTCCAGCTGCGGAAGAACTGCAGTTCGCCCACAAAATGACATTTTTTGAGGATTGCACATCTGCAGCTTCCCTTTCTGCACCCTCCAATAGCGCACGCTTTTTTCTGATACACCAAAGTGGCGCTGAGCAGCCATATTCCCATTCGCTTCTGCGAACTTAACAACCTATAGTTTAAAAAAGAAACACAAGGTCGAGCGGAGCGAGAACTTAGAACAGATTGGAGGCAAATCAAGAACACAAAAAACAGACAAGAGAAAAAAAAACCTGCTATTGGATTTGAATGCGAATATGGCTGTGTCCAGCTTCTGTCGCATGTTGCCAGACAGCGGTGCAGTGTCGGCTAGACACTGCTATATAAGATGAGGGGCGACTGACTTTAGCTCGTTGTTTTATTGAAAATATCTCGACTTATATTCCGGTTTATACAGTACTTCTTGCTGAAAAAAGTTCATGGTGTTCTTTTGAACTTTCATGCTTTCGCCGCCTCTCAGTAAAGTGCTGCAGTTTCCTCACTCATGCTGCTGGCGCTCTAAGGTGGATTCACACTTGGCATCAAAGGGAGTGAAGTGGCAAGACTTACTGAAAATTCACTCAGTTCGCTGCTTAAGTGGCTGGAAAAACGTGTCGTGAAGTCGATACGAAAAAAATACGTCCAAGAAAATTTACACTCTAGAATTCAAGCGAAAACGTTAGAGCGGTCGCGAAACCACGTCCGCGCCCATCGAAAATGTTCTGCCCCTCGTATTCATGCCACTGCCGCTGCCGTCTCTGCCGCTTGAGAATTAATTCCTGAGCATTAACATCCCTACCGAATTCTAGTTATGCATGCAAATCGCTGAAAAGAAACAGTTTACACCTTTACAAATGTTGTTTCAGGAGATACGTTAGAAGAAACGACACAAGCAGATGCACCGGCAGCGGTGGCGGCGGGTTCAGTCGGCACTGTAAAAGAGAGTGTCACTAGTCCCGTTAATTAGGGAGGCGATCGCTGAGCTGATTCCAAGGGCTGAAGTATCGGCCCCCTCCGAACTGCATCACGAAAGCACGGGCAATTTAGATGTGGTCGTATTCGGCGCGCCAGCTAATGCCGGCTGTGGTCCAAAGAACGAGTCAGAGCCGAGAGTTGATAACAAAACAAAAATATATTGTCAAACATGACAGATCAAGATACACACAAATATGCACTGTCGGCAATAATTCAATACATCTCAATCACAAGTTATACAAACGAGCTACGCAACACCACCAGATACACTCAGAACAACGGACACAAACAACAACACGCGCTACAATGCAATCTCATCACTAACTGAGACACTTAAAGGCAAAAAAAAGTTCCTCAAAGTTATTCATTCCTAAGTTTGAATGATTCTCTTGAAGGAACCACTTACTCAGAGTCCGGCGCTGATAGTCGTTCCGTTGCTCCCGAAGTTTCTCTTCCAGGAAACCTCGCGTTGTCAATTGTCTGCCCTTCCATAACAAAAGTTCTTCACCGGTAACATGTCAGCCACTCAGGCGCTGCGGCTGCAGAACGAGTGTTCTTCTGCTTATAGCACAAGCCTTCACCCGCAGTTGGAAAACCTCTTCATTTCCTGCTCTGTAACTTAAGACATAAGCCTTCGCCCAACGACGAAAAAATTCTCGTCTCGTGCTCTACGCACGCTGACGCAAAACTTTTATATCCTGCCCTATGCACACTGGCGCAAACTCTCTTCATTTCCTGCTCAGCTCACCACCCTCCGCTGCACGCTGTACAGCCAAAGCTGGGGAAGGGGCGAAGCTTTTCTTGAACCATCCGCGACACATGACGCAACTAGGGAGTGACTCGCGCTTTCCTTCTTGATGATTCTGGAGGTCGCTCGGCGATGAATGGGGTTGGTCAGCCTAGCGCGGCATTTTCAAGAGGAAGCTGTGGCGTGCCCGGGGAGTCCTTTGATGCTTGTTTTCTTCTTTTCGCCAGTCTCTGTCGTGTCAGTCTGGCGCCTTGATTTCATGTAGCGTTTTAGAATTCACAGGCGTATACTTTTCTGAGTGATCGTTTGTGACAAGAGACACGTTAGGGCATGCATGCAAACTCGCTGCTACTGCACCTTGTACTTATGGTGTTTCAGTGATGTTAATTCAAACCAGGCTCTCAATGAATGCATCTTTTTCAAGGTCAGAAACCTTGTCGTGCTGCACGAGTAGTTCGCGATTGCACCTACATGAGCCACAGCACCTGCTGATAGGTCCCTCTACTGTTGACGCCTTGGTTATCATCTTCAATGTACACCTGGTTCTTTACATCACTCAGTTCGAAAGCTAGCACAGCTGGTGTAGCCTGTGGTAATTGAGGCTAGCCTGCTGGCTTTGCCGCCTCTTTCTGCATTCTCATGTCCCAAAATGACCCCCTCCTACGCGGTCTGCCACTATGGAGGAGCGGGGAGTGATGTTCATCCCTTCTCATCTGGTAGCGGATGTCGACTGTGGCGCCGTGCGCGGAGTGTTTCGGGACATTTTGTGTGCACGTACGCCAGGAGCAAGAGAGATCTCTGGGGGACAGCTTACGGTGAGCACGCATTTCTTTTCCGTTCGACGGCTCCTATTGTGCGAGGCTTGTCGGACTTCGCCAGCGGCACCTTGCGGCCGCGGCGAAAGCCCACCTTTTGTCGCCTCTTGCGAACGCTGGGCCAAAGAGCGGCGCAGTGTCCTAGTGTGTGGTCAAACTACACTGACCCGTACCTCTTGAAGCCAACGTGATCGGCTTTGCTCTCGCTCGAGCAACCGGGCCCTTTGTTCCGATGTCCCCGTGAATCACTTTGCCCACGGAGACGAGCTCGTGGCACCCTGTGTAGTACTTCTCGCCCTTGGAGTGGATAAGCTCATTTGTTTTCCCACCACCTCTGTTGCAATGGGCTCGGTACTGCGTTTTGGTATTGCCACATACAATAAAGTGTTGCAAACTTGAGCAGTACCGTGTTCTCATCACGACGACGGTAAACGCGGGCTCTGCGGCTCGCTAAGACCGGACCCATGCTGGTGGCTGTACTCCTTCGGGATACGTGTACACTACAAACCAAAGCCGTAGCAGCAAGGTGATCCGCTAACGCGTGAAGGCCTCAGACCCTTTTCTCGCGTTGGCCTCGTGGCATTGTCTTCCGGCCATTTTTCCTGCGGGGAAGCGAGAAAAATTCCGGGGAGTTTTGCCGCATTTGCTCCCTACGAAGCCAATTGTAAACGAGCCTTCCTCCCACAGACAAGCAAAATTGTGGCGCTGGCGTGCAGCGGTCAATCAGGTGTTGACATCATCTGTGGTTGCTGTGGAAACCGTTCTTACAGAACCAAATTACGCCGTATTTTATATGATATAGTTCATCCGATGCAACTTTAGAGTTCATATCATCGCTAAATTTGCATAGACTGTAATCGTATCATCAAGATTCTACTGTAATATGTTCGATCGATCTAGCCTTAGTAATAAAAAAAAATAGGAGTTTGGGACTATTGGAAATTCGAAATATTTGTTCAATAGAATTTGCTGCTTCATTCGATTTGCACTGTAGTTTATGATATTCGAGCTATTCAAACTTGCCTAACACAAATACAAGCAACGTCCAACTTAAAAAATGCCACTTGAGTTTTTTTATATGCTTCACCCCATTACATTTTTGTGCGTGGGCAAAGCTGCCTTTTAGGCTCTGTCTCTAATCTATTGACTCAAGAAAACACCGGTTACAACATAAAAATTATAGATGCTCAACTAACATAAACTTTATGCAGGAACTCTGAAAAATAGGACACGGAAGTTTTTTAGCATCCAAAGTTTCGGATGTTTTTATATATTGATGTCAGATCTAGAACTGACCTTGTCTGCCACATCAGTTGAAAGAGGAGGAGCTTGGCCTTTCACGTGTCAAGTGTTGTCGGCAGCACTTTTGTTTCACCAAATCATGTACATAAATAACATTCAGGCTCATTCTTGACAAGACAAACATGGAAAACCAGCCCATCACCAGTTTAGTCAAAAGAAATGATTTCATATTGTTGCTTTGTCATATTTTTAGAAATGTTCTACTTTTCTTCTGCTATTTTGCTTTGAAGCATTTAAAAGATGTTCTAGAAATATTTAAGAAATATAAAAAAAATATTCAATTCAATTTGCATTCAAACTTTAATATTCGAATTTTCTTCGCACCCAAAATATTGGTATTTGCACAGCTCTAAAAAAAAAAAAAACGGAAATGCATGAAGAAACAATGTCGGCCGTCCATCTGTAAGATGATGCCCATTTTAAAGGTCTTGGAGCCCTTCTGTGCACTTGCCAATGCATGGGTTTATGACTCGTAGTACATATTATTCTTTAATAATGAGATGAAAAAATTGCTTGTCAGCCCCTAATGAAGGGTAACAAATTTGTCGATCTGTTAATGAGGAATTTTTTTAATGCTTCTGTATGATACCTGCGCAGCGCGAGCGGCGCAAGGACAAGCAGAAGCTGAAGCAGCGCAAAGAGAATGACCTTCCGCCATCGCTGCTGTCGGCAGAGCCCGTGCGAAAGCGCAGCAAGCTGGTGCTGCCGGAGCCCCAGATCTCAGACCAGGAGCTCGAGCAGGTGGTCAAGCTGGGCCGGGCCAGCGAGACAGCCCGCGAGGCTGCCCAGGAGGCGGGCCGCCAGGCTTCGGACACCCTGCTGGCCGACTACAGCCTCACACCGGCGACAGGGCCCTTGCGCACGCCCAGGGCACCTGCACTCAGCCGGGACACCATCCTGCAGGTAGGCGCTCCTCACTACAGTCAGGAAATACTTCTTTCCAACAAAATTTCTGCTTCAACAAAACAGCGACCTCCGATGTGATTGGCCCTGTTCATCTCTGAGCAAGAAAAACTCATGCAAGTTTACCTTTCATGCACTGGCCAATTTATTTTGTACATGGGGCAACAAATACTAAACTCCTGGTGTCACTCTCAATATTCTCTAACTGAAATGCACTGCTTACAACATGGAGAAGGTTGCACATGCATATACGTGAATCGTACAAATGCACGAGCAACAGAAGCAGTGGTCACTAAGCCAGAGGAGCAACTGGAAGCAAGAAAGTTGGCTCAATTTTTACAATATTCATAGTTGCCTAGCAACTGGCTACATCACAAGACAGTGCAATCTCGTTGATCCCCTTGATAAGTGTTCTGTTACCATTTTCAAAAGGCACAAAAGGGGCAGCCAAGCTCCTACACTTTGTTAAACTGTGTGGCAGTGATTCCCTCAATCATGAGAGCTTGGGAATTATGGTTACTTTGAGCATGTGGCTTTGCTGAAATCCTCATGCCAAGTGCAGTGGCAAGCAGCTGGGGGACAATTGCCAGAGGAGGTCTTTTTAGTTGTTAGTAGCCACCTTGTTCTCTTCAAAGGTGATTTTAGCCTGTTTCGAGATTAACTATTACCTCTACAGGAAAGTAGAGAAACTAAACTTGTAAAGGCATTAAAAGCAAAAGGCATATAATTTCGACAAGAAATGCATTTTTCAGTCGCATCTCCCCTAACTCATTTATTACCATGCCAAAATGGTTATTTTTCATTTGTTGCGGAATGATAGTTTTTGCCAGATTGAAAAGTATTTCGGCACGCGTTGCAGCATACCATAGTTTGCGCAATGAAATGTTCTTTCTGCGTGGACAGGAAGGGAGTGCCTGACCCTTTTCATTATTCCTCGAAGCTCCTCGAGCACGCATGAGCGCGGCGCCAATCTACCTCGTTTCGTGCGACAGCGCAAGACACGCACCGAGCGTCGTCTGCTATAGCTCGTGGCACCCTTCTCTCAGGACAAAGAAAAAAAATCAAGGTTGTAATTAAACTCGAAGTAGGTTGACATCGCTTCTGAAGAGCACAATGTGGCTATAAAAAAAAAACTAAAAAGGGCTCATTGTCTAGAGTCTCCTGAAAATTGTCTCCTGGCTGGTTGCCATTGCACTTCACATGAGGAGCTCAACAAAGCCACATTGCTCAAAATAACCATCTTTCTCAAACTACCATGATAGAAAAAATCATCTTAAGAAGCATATCTTTGCCGCATATATGAGCTGACATTTCTGGATTTGAAATGTGTTTTTCTCAATTTACAATTTTGGGCAACTTCTTGAGTTTAGACATCATGTTTTGGACACTTCTGATAGCCAGATTGGAATGAAATTTTTATCACATATTTGTTAGTATGTGAAGAATGCAAGCATTTTCTTGAAAACCTGACGTCTCTTATATAATTTCTACAAAGTTAAGGTAAGCAATTAGTATGGGCTGAGCATTTCAAGACCCCTTGCATTACTATCTTCTTTTGCTGACTAAAATGTCATACACACATTTTCATGTTATTTTTATTCCACAGTTAGTATGGAGCAATATGTGTTATTAATGACTTATAACCATAAAATTTAGTGGTGGCAAATGTGTGCCCAAAATATTATCTTCATTTTACGCATTGTCATTGTATAAAACAAAAACTATGGAACTTACTGTCAAACTGATTACATGTTTGAAATCAGCATAAAAGCCTCTGTAAACATAGGTTTTATTGCTTTAACATAAATTTGATTGCCTTGGGTTACAGATTAAATAATCTTTTCTCTTTTGAATAGCATCTCCCTTATTATCATCACACTTTGGCCAAAATCCAATGAATTGAAGCGATCCTCAGAGAATGTAGAGCAAAACAATGGAAACGGCCTTCGTAGACTAGGGAAATGAGGCAGCGCGCGTGAATCTTCATGTGTTAAAGGGAGACGCTCCCCGAAAAAATTTCTTTTATTTCTAGTCATAGACGCTTGAAAATTTTGTTGTTAATATAGCTTTTCATGTAGGTTGCCAATATGCAATCATTTTTTGTGTAGCTGCTATAGTTATTGAGTTACGCCGTGCACAATAGCAAAAAGTTACATGTTTTGCGGGTACTGTTTCATGTACTTAACTTTCAGTAAAAGCATTGTCTCTGATTTTATTAGACTCTTGGTAGATTGTAAAGTGCAAATATTTATCCAGATATGTCACAGAAATGTTGGAACCAAGGGAAAAAAAATCGTATTGAATGGCTAAGTATTTTCAACCTGCCTTGAAACAATAACCTAATATTTTCACAACTAATTCTGGTAGGCATTGCAATTTCAAGTAGATATTTGCATTCTGCATGTGTTGAAGAATATGCCAAGTTTCGTTATTATACAATTAGTATAAGTGTCTAAAAAGCTGTCCTAAAAATAATAAATGGGGAAAAAATGAAAATGAGAAAAACAAGTTTGAAAGTTTGGAAAGTTGAAATTTATTAGGAAACCTTTTTTTTTTTCATAAAATTAGGGCACAATGAAAAGCATCTTGCATTGAATGCTCGGAAGATTGAAAATCGCACAGAATTGTGAAAGTTGGTCATGGCCTGCGCCTATAGCACGTGCTGCCAGAACTGCCTTCAACGTTTACGGCAAAGCTATCACGCGAGCTGCCTCTGTCGAAACGAGCGCTCGTCCCTTGGTCCCTGGCCGAAGTAGTACGTCTCGATGCATGCGTGAATGAAAGTGTAGATTCAGGGCAATCGTTTTCACAGCATAGTTCGTGGAATGCCGAAAGCCCTTTGCTCTTTCCAGCTACCTCGGACGCCAAGTTCCCATTCGTGGCAGGTTGGGCATTGCGCACCCGCCACAAGGCAGTCAGCGCATCGATTTCGCAAAGCAGCGTGTTGGCAGTAGCAGCACCTACTGGTCTACGTTCACTCTCGAAGAATCCGCTGTTCATTTGGGATGCACTGACGAATTCCTGGCAGTGGCTATTTCACAACCACTGTCGCCGCAGGGTTCGGTGTCAGTTAGGCCTATCTGAAGCTGGGCCTGGTCGGCGGTGACATCAACGTTCACTGTCGCTTTGGGAAGTGTCTGACGCCGTTTCCCTCGATACTTGGGGCGAGTTTTAAACTTCGATTATCTAGACTGCGCTTCTCGGGGCTTGCCATGACGCAAACTGCAGATAAACATCGAACAACTCAGTTGCGACGTCCGAGACTTCGCTCTTTTGCCGGAAGGATAGGAGGGGGAGGAGCGGACCGCTGACCAATGGCGGCCTCGCGCTGCTTGCTGCAATATTCAAAACGCGTAACATATGACAAAATAACTTGTTTTCAGGCTAGTTCGTGCATACTTGGTGCAGAAGACTGAGGCGCAAAAAACATATCGTGAAGCAGGAAGAGCAGAAGAGAATACAAAACAGTGCCAACTACCAACTGTTTAATGACCGTCTAGGAAACGCACAGGAAAGAAGACAAAACCGCGCATGCGCGCACAGCCAAACAAACATCGTACAGCGTCATGATCAAGGCACTAAGTTATCCAAAAGCTGCATTTCTGTTGAGTACAGCACAATAGATGTATCACTGATACAATCGGGCCCTTTCTTTTTGATAAAATAGGCTTCCAAGAGCTCTCTAGCTGTTTGTTCGTTTGCTCCTACCAAGAATCACCGTTTTCTCAAACAATGGCACACATCCACAGACTTTACAGTGCGCTCGAAGATGTGCATGATCACTTTTTCCTAAACTGTTGTCATGCTCCCTCAGTCTGTCATTAATGCAACGCCCCGTTTGACCGATATAGAACTTGCCACAGCCTAGGGGAGTCCCATATACCACGCCTTGTGCGCAGAGCCTAAAAAGTCTTGTGTGCTGCTTCTGGCAGCCCCTTTGCTCATCGCATGTGATGCGCGGGCACAATTGAGCAAGTTTGTTGGGAGCTGAAAAAACGACCGTAACGCCGCAACGGGAAGCCACCTTCTTGAGGTTATGGCTCACACGGTGTATATACGGGACCACCTCAGGCTTAACCCGCTCTCTCTCCTTCGGGCACGCATTTGCATTAGGTACTCTGCCTTTCACCCTCTGCAGCAGGGATTCCACCACAAAACTAACTACGGACTGAGGGTAGCCGGCCTTGGAAAGTCTTTGAAGTTGACGCATAAAGCTAGCTTGCATAACATGCTCACAGCATTCAAAGACTGTGGAATGCAGAATCGCTCTACTTCGCTTAGAGTTGGCACTACGCAGATCGTGTGAGCATCTTCACTGGGTGTCACGACAATCATCATCGTGTGTGTGCACGCTCGGTCTGAGACTGCCCGTTCGTTGCTGAGCCCTTGAGGCTGTATAAACGCTGTCTCAACCCAGACGTCATACGTGGTGGAGGGGGATTTTCGGTCCTCGGTCCTCTCCCACTTCGCTCGACTCCCTGGAGCTGCGTTCAGGCCGCCGATTGCCCCCACTGTCTGGCAGCATGTCACAGAACGAGCCTGCCGGCACTGCTACCATCTCTGCTGCCATCTCTCCCCCGCCATCTTCAGCCCTGCCTCCTGTTTACGTACACAGCCACCAGCGTGATCCCCCTCTCTTCGCCGGTCTTCGCGGGGAAGACAGGGAAGACTGGCTCGATGAGTACAGCCGCGTGAGTGTTGCTAATCACTGGGACGATAGCGCCAAGCTTCGATACGTCTCTTTTTACTTGACCGGTGTGGTGAAGACATGGTATTTCAACCACGTCATTGACTTACCCGACTGGGCGACCTTCCAGCACCAGCTGCGACATGTTTTTGGGACACCGGTCATTCGTTCTGCCGTCGCGAAGAGGACCCTCAATACTCGCCAACAACATCCCGGCGAATCTTACACTTTCTACATTGAGGATGTCCTTTCACTGTGCCGGCGTGTCAATTCATCTATGCCAGAATCGGACAAAGTACGCCACATCTTGAAAGGCATTGAACCGGTTGCTTTTAATGCCCTCGCTGCGCAAAATCCGGCTACCATCGCTGACGTCGTCACGACATGCCAGCGCCTTGATTCGCTGGACTCCGTTCGTCTCCAAACGGATATTGGCGACCACCACTCCATGTCTCAAGGCCATCTGCGTGACCTCATCCGGGACATTATACGAGAAGAATTGCGGTCTATGGGCTTCACACCTTCTTCACCGCGTTCAACACAGTCTTCGGGAGTTCCTTTGCGTCACCTCATCAGGGATAAACTTACATCCATGACCGGCCCTGATCTCGTACAACCACCTGTTTCTCGCACCATATCAACCTTCACTCAAGTTGCTGCCGCGCTTCCGAGCAACGTACTTTGTGACATTGCCGCAACCATCCTACGCGTCGTTTGGTGCCGCTTTTTCGGTCAACTACTGTTCGATATGACCCTTCTTCGGCCCACCTGACCCTTCTTCGGCCCACCTGAGCACGCTATCTCCAAGTGCCCCCAACGCCTTCTACTCACCACCCTTGCGCTCGTCCCACCCTGTCTGCTATTACTGTGGGTATCGCGGCCACATTTCTCGTTTCTGCCGCAAGCACCAGCAAGACGAATGCCGCGGTTACGACATGCGTGAACGAGGTGTGTACTATCAAGCTTAACGCCATTCATCACCTCCACACCGGTCTCCCTCTCCAGACGCTGTTCACTATCCCCCTTTCGCCACTCCTCCTCCCTACTTTGGGCTGCCTCATTCGTCACTAACAGTCATTCGAAAAACTAAGTGATGCAGTTTCTGGGGGAAAAACTGCATCCCGAATTAGGACTGATATTCCTCCATCAGGCCCGTGCAACATGATTTCGGTGGTAGTGGAAGGAGTGTACGTGGATGCACTGGTGGACACCAGTGCGGCATTTTTTGTTATGCGCGTCGATTTAGGCCAATGTCTGAAAAAGTGATGACCCCTTATGATGGACCCACGTTGATTGCTGCGCAGGGGTATACCATTCGCCCTTCCGCTTTCTGTACAGCCCGCGTTTTTATTGATGGTATCCGACACCACATTCAGTTCGCCGTCCTGACTGACTGCTCTCACCAATTAATTTTAGGGTGGGATTTTCTTTCTTCTGCCTCCGCGGCTATTTGCTGTGGCCAACGCGACGTCCACCTCACCGACACGGACTGCACGCTCAATGACGACCCCCAGTGGCCACTTTGTTTGACAGCTGCGGAAGATACCGAATTACCACCATGTCAGGAGCAGATTGTAGCTATTACCTCCAAGGACATCGACCATGGCGACGTCTTGGTCTCACCATCATTTAGTTGCATCAGTAAAGGCATCATTTTTGCTTTTGGTGTAGTTAGGTTTCTTAATGGTTCCGCACTTGTCACCGCTGTGAATACAACATCCAAAAAAATTCTACTTCCCCAGAAAACCACGGTGGCCTGCGTGACGGATCCCGACCCTGCATGCGTCGTGCCACTTCATGCCGTCTCCTCCAACGACAGCCCTAGGAGTGAGCCTGCTTCTTCCACCTTTACTGCAGCCATTAACGACGACTTGACACCTTCACAGACGCAACAGCTACTTGCTTTGCTAAAGGAACACGCAAGTTCCTTCAACGTTTACACCTCGACGTTGGGCCGCACTACTACTATAACGCATCGAATCCACACAGTCGGAACATCTGTTGTACGCCGTCGGCCCTACCGCGTGCCCTTGGTCGTTGCCTGTGGTTCTGGTTCGCAAGAAGGATGGCTCCGTGCGCTTTTGCGTCGATTACAGGACGCTCAACAAGATCACTCGCAAGGATCTGTACCCATTGCCTCGCATTGACGACGCCCTTGATTCTCTACAAGGCGCGAAATACTTTTCCTGCCTCGACCGACCTGCGTTTTGGATACTGGCAAATTCCTATGCACGAAGAGGATAAAGAGAAAACGGCGTTCGCAACCCCCGACGGGCTATACGAATTCGTTGTGCCTTTCGGGCTGTGCAACGCGCTTGCTACATTTGAGTGCATGATCGATGCCGTGCTGCGCGGCCTTAGGTGGAAGACCTGTCTCTGCTACTTGAACGACATGGTCATTCTTTCGTCAACGTTTCCTCAGCACCTGCAACGTTTGGATGACGTTCTGACGTGCCTTGCCGCCACTGGTCTTCAACTAAACATGAAAAAATGCCGTTTTGCCACGAAAGCTATCAAGGTTTTGGGCCACGTCATGAGCAAAGATGGAATTCGGCCGGATCTGGACAAAATTGCTGCGGTGCTTCGCTTTCCGCGCCCCGAAAGGCCGAAGGAGTTGCGAAGTTTTCTTGGTCTCGCCTCCTATTTTCGCCGTTTTATACGAAACTTCGCATCAATAGCAGCTCCACTGCATCAGCTTCTTGCTTCTGACATGCCCTTTTTGTGGTGGGAAGAATGTCAAACGGTATTCGACCTGTTAAAATGTGCCCTCACGTCCGAACCTGTACTCCGCCACTTTGATGAGGCCGCACCGACCATCCTACATACGGACGCTAACGGCCGCGGTATAGGTGCTGTTCTGCTCCAACGCGACACCTCTTCACAAGAGAGAGTAGTTGCGTATGCCAGTAGAGTAATAACCGCGACCGAGAAGAACTATACCATAACTGAGCAGGAGTGCTTGGTTGTGGTCTGGGCAGTGCAAAAGTTCCGTCCCTACCTCCACGGCCGTCATTTCACGATCGTTACCGACCACCACGCCCTATGCTGGCTTTCCATGTTGAAGAACTTGTCTGGACGCTTGGGTCGGTGGATTCTACGTTTACAGGAATATGACTTCGATATCACTTACAAGTCAGGTAGAAAACACCAAGACGCCGACGCCCTTTCCCGCTGCCTGCTACCAAATACCCAGCTCAGCATTGGTCAAAGTTCGGCCATCACTTCTACTGCAGCGCCTGCGCTCGCCTCAATAGACCAGCTATTCTCGAATGACAAGCGCACATTTCACTCGTGCCAGTTGTCTGATCCGTACTGTAGGCGTATCATGGACCAGCTCTCAGGAGCTTCCCATCCACCTAACGTGCGACATCGTCGTCAACTCTTGTGATTTAAGCTGGAGAATGGAGTTCTGTACCGTCACATCTACCACCCAGATGGTCAACGCTGGGTTCCCGTGCTAACATGCTCTCTTCGACTTGACGTGCTTAAAGCCTTCCACGACGGCTTGACTGCCGGACATCTTGGTATTCAAAAAACTTACGACCGCATCCGAAGTCGCTTCTACTGGCCTGCTATTTCTACTAGCATTGCGCGCTACGTTGGTTCCTGTGTCCAGTGCCAGCACCGTAAAATCCAGACAACTGCACCGGCCGGGCTTCTGCAGCCAATTCCGTGCCCCACAACGCCATTTGAGGTTGTAGGTATCGACCTTTACGGCCCTCTTCCCATCACATCTACTGCCTCTGCTTCGGAAGTTGCCGACTTCGTTCTGCACGCCATCATTCTGCGCCATGGCGCCCCTCGTAGATTGTTAAGTGACCGACCGTGGAAGGGTGTTCTTGTCAGAAGTGCCAAATGAAGTATTGCGCGCCTCTGGAATAACACACAAGACAGCTTCCAGCTATCACCCTCAAACCAACGGTCTCACCGAGAGGTTTCACCGTGCTCTTTCTGATATGATAGCCGTCTACATCAGTCCAGACCACAAAAACTGGGATACTCTTCTGCCATTCCTCACCTTTACCTACAACACGGCCGTTCAGCGCACCACTGGATACACCGTTCTACCTCGTTTATGGACGTTCCCCTACTTTCTTCCTCGACGTTTCCTTTTTCAACACTGACGTCATCTCGTCTCCGTCTACCAGCGAGGAATACATTTCAAGACTAGCCCGGTGTCGCGATCGTGCTCGCATCAACACGGAAGCGCGACAGCAAGATCGAAAAGTCATTTATGACGCATCCCATCGCCTTGTATTCTTCCGACCTGGGGACGAGGTGCTCCTATTCACACCTATTTGTACACCTGGTCTGTGTGACAAGTTTCAACCACACTTCATTGGGCCTTACATAGTTATCGAGCAGACTTCGCCCGTTAATTATCGTGTGACCCCACTTGTCGTCCCAGCAGACCACCGTCACCGCAACACAGAGATCGTGCACGTGTCTCGCATGAAGCCTTTCTGGCGACGTTCTCTGTCACATTGACTTTCCACGGCCAGGTTGGCCGTCTCGATGTGGAGGGGGGGGGGCTTAGTGTGGGCATTCGTCATGCGCTTCCTTTCATATATGCATTACTATAATCATCATCATCCGCCTGGGTCTCTATCCTCATCTTCACTGGGTGTCACGACAATCATCATCGTGTGTGTGCACGCTCGGTCTGAGACTGCCCTTCGTGGCTGAGCCCTTGGGCTGAATAAACGCTGTCTCAACCCAGACGTCATAATATATATAAATGTCAGCTGCTTATTTATGCATCTTAAAATGCCCAGTGCTTTTAACGAGTTTTCTTGCACATTATTTGAGCAACTCACTTTTGATCAAACGATGTCATGCATGGTATTTGCACTCGCGCGTGTTCCCCTTGCAGGAGGCCCAGAATATCATGGCCCTGACCAATGTGGACACCCCTCTGAAGGGTGGCCTCAACACACCTCTTCATGAGACTGACCTGGGTGGACCAGCGACACCCAAGAAGGCAGCACAGACACCCAACAGCCTCATTGTCACCCCGTTCCGTACACCCAGCACTGCTGCTGCTGACGGTGAGCACACGGCAATTAGAAGCTCTCACGCGTAATGAAAACCGCCTGTACTAATGGTGTGCCTGCGAGGTTTGGCAGTGTTCAACTAAGTCATTGTACAGCAGAACATTTTGTGGAGAGGCATGCTTGTTGCCTGCAGGGATCTCCTATTGCCCTGTCACTTAGTTCTACCGTTGCGGGGAAATTGTACTTCAGGAATCTTTTCTGGATGTTTGCTCATGGAAACAAACTTCAAAGCTACAGACGCCTTGCTCAATACATTTCTTGGACTGCACATACCACTAAGTTTGCTTCATTTTGAAGCAAGGGTTTACTTTTCATCGTGGGTAGTAAGTAAAGAAGAAAGACAACAAAGTAACGAGAGGCCAATAAAAAAGATTTTCACACGCCTTACCAATCTGAGAACGTGGTACAAACCTTTGCACCCCTCACACGTGACACGGCGAACTTGGTTTTCATGCCTGGAACTGCACCACTTCAACACTTTGACATATTGTATTTACTCGCGTAATCCTCACCTTCGCATAATTGTTGCACTCCCCACATCACCCAACAAAAATACGATTTCTTGTTTTCCTCGAGTAATTATTGCACCCCCGAAAATTGCCGCAATAATGTCGTCTGCTCGTCCTAGCCACTGATGATGATAGTGTGCACTATCTGGCGCAATCTCTTAAGCATCAAGCCTACTATTATTGCACAAATATCCAATTCAATTCAAGCCAATTCAAAAAGGCAAGTGCACATTGCGGCGTGTTTTGTATGTTGTGTCTGTAATCTTGTCACTTTATGGGGCAATACTGAAGCTACACGGCTGCTTTCAAGTTGGAAGTGATTGATCATGCTCTAAATAACGGCAACAGGGCCGCCGGTATGCTCTTTGCAGTCGGTGAGTTTTGTGTTCACTACTGGTGACGGCAGCTGAAAGCCACCAAGACGCGTTGGGCCTGCCGTGTGCCCAAGACTGAGATCGATGGTAAACTTCATTTCTTCAGAAAGAAACTGCGGATGATTCTGTTAAATAGCCATCAGCCCAATACTGACATCCTACGCTTGCCTTTTGAGGGCTCCTGTTGAGTGACAAACGCTACCGCTACGCCCACAACGCCCACAAGCTTTGCGTATGGTATTCTAATTCTCGACTTTTTGCTAGCACTTTTTGTGTCTCAAATAAATCTTGCCTTGTGCTGAACTTCTGCTTTTATTGTTCAGGAAAATTTTGATTAGTACTTCTCAAAGCTTGCTGTTAGTTGCTGGCGTGAGAATCCCAATTCGCGGTCACTTCGTTTTATTTTTCGCCCTGTACGTTTTTGTGGAAAGTTTTTCCTGCATAATTCTCGCACCCCCCAACTTTGCATCATTTTTCCGCTGAAAAAACTGCGAGGATTATATGAATAAATATGGTAGAAACCATCATGAGGACGCAACTAAACACAACACGCAAGCCTTCACGACGGTTTAAATGTCAATGCACCAACTTGCCCACCAGTCAACTCTTTTGCTTCAATACTAGTCGCCTTGAGGTGGTTGCCCTGTTCTGGGCCAAATTCAGCAGCAACAGGCCGTCTCAAAGGGAAGTGGCCCACAGACACCTTCCTGGCCAGGCTCACACCAGAAGAGGAGCTCTTGCTGAAGCTGTCATCTACTGCTGGTTAAGTACAGTGCAACAGCAAAAAAATATTGCCCGAAGTGCTCCCAACAAAGCTAACTCTTCCTTTTTGCCAAATTGCAGAAAAGATTCTGTCACTATTCTACAAGTTTGAGATAGTGCACGGTGGCGACACCAAGGAGATAGTTCGAAATTAGTGCAGGGTCCGGGATACACAGCATGTTATATCGGCGAAACAAACATACCGTAGTTACTCGAATCTAACGCGCACCTTTTCTCCGATTAAGTGAGTTCATAAATCGCATGCGCGTTAGAATCGAGTACGAAAAAAAAAAATGAATACGGTCATTCTATTGCAATCGGCATTTCCAAAATGGCCGCCCCCTACGTGCGGTCGGCCATTTCTGCCTATGTGTTTCCCATGTGCGGCACTTCGTACATGTGCTGAGGAGTTCGTCATCTTGTAGTGCATTAGCATCGACGACATGGAAGGGCCGACTCCAAAAACTCGAGTGTACAACGATGCCACTTTTAAAAGAAAAGTCATCGCGTGTGCAGAAACGGACGGAAATCGGGCCGCATCGTGGTCGTTCGGAGTTCCCGAAACGTGGTCGGGACTGGCGGAAACAAAAGCGGAAGATTGTCGACAGCAAAGCTCTCTCGCAAAGGCTTCAGAGGACCACAGCAGGGTCGGTTTCCGCAAATTAAAGAGCTGCTCAGCGAGTATGTGCTTGAGCAGCGAGCGGCACAGCGGCCCGTGACGACACAACTGCTCCAAGTGCGGGCTATGCAATTAGCCTTAGAAGAAAGTCTAATGCGGAACCAGTTTAAAGCGAGCAAGTGCTGGCTAACTAGCTTTATGAAGAGGAAAGGCTTTTCCCTCCGAAGGAAAACGGGCATATGCGAAAAGTTTTGCGGAGGAGTACGATGAAAAGCTTCACAGTTTTCAGAGGTTTGTCGTAAACTTTCGGCACAACAACGGCTACGTGCTTGGGCAAATCGGGAATGTGGATCAGACGCCTCTTTACTTCGACATGCCTGGCACCACAACCGTCGAGAAGAAAGGGGCGAAGCAAGTTCGTGTGCTGACATCGGTCTACGGTGAAACTAAAGTGACGACCATGCTCTGTTACACGTCATATGGGCACAAGCTTCGCCCGTACCTCATATTTAAATGGAAGACGCTCCCAAAAAGAGTCGTTTTTTCGTGTGGTGTGATCGTGCGGGCCAGCGAGAAAAATGGGTGCGCGTTGCAATCGATGTCTTACGGTTTTTTTTTTTTTTTTCGTCGTGGAATTCAGGTGCGCGTTACAATCGAGGGCGCAGTAGAATTGAGTAAATACGGTATGTCCGCGATACGTGTGTTTTGTGGTCTGCTTATAAGCGAAAATTGAGAAACAGTTTTTTTTTTCAAGGGGGGGTGGCTACCCCGGAAACCAAGCTTTTTATTTTTTAAGTTGTCTTGATGACATTTTCCAAGAATGTTCACTACATTAAAACTAGAGATACTGAGAAGTTTCATAAAATTGTGTTCAATGGTTCTAGAGTTGCTGAGGTCTAACTGGGTGATTCACTTGTGTGCCTGAGAAAGAGCCGGAAGAAATGCCAGGCCATAACAGAAGGCCAAAAATTATTTTGTGGTCACCCCTGGATAGATATCCTAGGGTACTAAAGAGCCATTTACTTTTCAATATCCCCTCCAAAAATTTTTTATGCAACTTTGAATTTGATGTAGCAAGTAATGATGACATTTATCAAGAATTAATTGTTTACTAATAAAATGGCACCAATATTTAAAAAAAAAGCTTGACAGACCCTGGTAAAAATCAGTCGGGAACAGAATGAAAAAAAAAAAAAAACAGCGCACAAATCTGATAAGCAGTTCTTAAGAAATCGCTTTCCTCAGCACCACAACGAGCTAAAAAATTCATTTTGAGAAAGTGGGATTTGAAAGTTCAGCACATGTGACAACACTGATTCAGAGTACGTGCGAGATCCGGCGATCTAGGACACGCTCGATGCATTCGTGGCTCCAGTTACAAACGGTGTGTCAGATTCTGAACTGATGGCGGCCGACAGCACAGTTTCGCTGCTGCAAGCGTCTATGCACTGGGCATTTGTAGCAGAAAAGCAGAATTTCGATTCTCGTAGAAGCTGCATAACCTGTTTCCGTGCTCGAACCTGCATACTGTCTTCGGCTTCGTTGCCGGCATCACCCACAGCAACATAGATAAAGGGCACAGAGCTTGTGCAAAAAAAAAAAAGAGAGAGAGAAACTGATCGAAAATACAGTGGAAGGCAAGAAGTGGCTTGTAAGCAGAGGTCTGTCGAGGCGGATAGAGCAGAGAGCAGCAGTGAGACGAGCGCGCCGGTCGTGCCATTGCCGGGAGGGACAGCCACCGCTTCCAGCACAGCAGCCAATGGCGGGCGCTTTCACCCGCGAGATATGAATGATCTGCTATAGCTAATCAGTGCTTCGCATCGCATCCCACGGAAACTCCAATAGCGCCTCAACCTCACCGTTGACGTCATTTTGAAAGGCGGCAAACAAGAGAGCGAGAATTCATGGTTAGACAAGGAGAGCAGAAGGGTAAGTCTTAAAATTAATGTGCAGAAAACGAAACTAATGTACAGTCGAGTCCAATATAACGGCCCCACTTAAAACAAACTATTGCTTAAAACGAACAATATCCGCGTGACCGTGAAAATATACATTGGTTCAATGGCTCAAAATCGCACTTACAACGAACGTCTCTGAGCGCCGCTGATCGGTTACAGCGAACGAAGTCAGCGGTCTGCCGACTTCTCGGGAAACCAATTTCACCGATCAGGCATCGGCGAGGTGCCCATACATTCTTATTGTTAAACGCCGAATCTGCCTCCGCGCCCCTCTAGCAGCTGCTCTCCCCGACTGCTTTTGCTACGCACCCATTCGTTCTTTGTCCCTCCCCTAATCCGAGCACCCCGCATAGCCCGACGAGGCTCGTGTTTTCACACTGCTACCGATCTTTCGAAGACCGGTCGGCCACCTACCCTGTTTTTGATCGCTGGTACTGTCGTTGGCGTCACTGGCCTGGAGTGACCAGACCATTTGCCAACATCCTCGACCAGCGACTGTATCCGATAGTCTGCGTCTAGTGCACGTGCGTGAGCTACCCCACCGACTCTGATAATTTTTTATTTGTTTCGGGTTTAGGACTTGTTCTCGCCCACTTCGCACTCAACTCAGCATGCCTTCTGCGCGCATGCGGAAGCGCGAAAACGGCTGTTAATTTGTGCTGAAAGAATCGCAAAATATCGAAGTTCGTGAGGCCACGCAAACCTGCCGGTGCAACAAAACGATTTTTTGACCACGGCAGCCTATTCTTCGAACGCCGCCACGCGCATCGAA